GGTAAAATTATCAAAGGCTGACTGGTCCGCAGCGATAAAAAGGTTGGGGACCACTGTACTATACTAGCAGGAAGAATGAATACCTACAGCTTCTTTCCAAATCACGGGAAAAACTTAATGAATGATCACATACTCTATTTTTTAGGAAGCTTTTTGTATAATGTTGCAAAGGTCCTTCATCTTCAAAAGCTTTAAAAGAAGAGAAAGAAATCTAAGAAATATAATCTTACACTCTCCAGGATAATAATATACGGGAATCCTACTATATTACCTTCCATATGACTTCAGTTTCAAGAAACTGTTTGGCTATATTGAGAAGAGAATGGGAACTCACATTTATAGCACCCTTGAAATGATTGCGTATTATTAAAAGCACACAAAACCTGTGAAAGTAGAGGTAACTTTTCTTTAAGTCAAAGACAGCAAAATTTGATTTGGAAATAAGCTATATGTGAAATATATGGGGACTTGATGCAATGGGTCATTAAATGCTCCCCCACCATCAAGCTACTCCCAACTAGAATCAACCTTAAGAGGTAGGTGGAGTCTTAAGAAATGCAAGCACATTTCTTCTCTAGCCACTAGAATTCATTTTGGCTTACACACTTGGCTGTCACAATAGCAGTAGAGTCGGTAGATTGTTTTAAGTTTTGATCTAGTTGAACTATCAGTCCTAAAAGGAAAGGAGAAGAACTGTACCAAAAAGCATTATTCAGCCCTTTTAGATGAGATGTATGCTTATGAAACCACGATAGGTTTGATTACTTATCCTTCCGTTTCTGTGTGATTTCTACTTAAACTGGTGAGAAAATGAGCTGTTGATCTTACCAGCTTTAATGGAGAGCTCTAAGCTCCAAAAATGGCATTCAAAGGCCACATACATACCTATGTCCCCTCACCTGCCATAGACACCTTGCACAACATTTTATAAGGTCCAAATGGATACATTTTGGATCTTAAAATATGTGAACATGCATTGCTAGTGTATTCTTCAGTACATACATACCTTGAGGGATTCCAAAAGTCACGACACTGTTACATTAGGGGTAAGAAACCATTTCCCCCAATTTTTCAGTAACCAAGGGGACAGTCGCTGAGATACACAGATAGTAGGAGGATAAAAATATTGAATTAATTTGGGGAAAAAACACCATCTGGTTTTGTAATGAGTTTAGTGAATCAAATACACATACACACAGACTTTAAAATTCTCTTCTCACCCCCATGGGTAGTATATGTCTTCCTCAACTTTGGCCTGGGCATTTGAGGGTTCTGACCAGGGGTGGGTTCCTGTACCGGTTGGTACTAGTTCGTTTCGCACATGCTTTGCTTTCTCTGAGCCCTCTCTGCCTTGTCTGCATCTATATGTATGCATGTGTGTGTGCGTGTGTCTCCAAAGAAATAGCGAAAGAATAACTATGAATACGATAAACCACATCTTATGTTCCTTTAGCTAACATCTAGTGATGCCATGCCACTTAAAAATCTAAAGATTATAAGATCTCTGAATATGTAAAATGTCAACATCTTTAATTGAATATGTAGTTCTTATCAGACTTCCAGAAGTGACAGAATTGTAAAAGAAGGTGACAGAAAGTAATGTATAGATCTCAAGTATAATTAATTATGCTATCTCAATAAAACATGCATTGTTAAATGTTTGACTATTTTAGGAATATTTTAGCATTTGGAGAAAGAGATGCATGGACAGCTAACTAAAAAACACTATCTGTCAATCATGAGATGTTAATATGAAATAAGGAATTAAATTAACAAGTGTAACAAGGAATTAATGCATGAGCCATTCCAACCATCTGAAAAAGAAAGCTCATTTCCTCTTGTTTATGTCTTGATGTGCTAAGCAGCTATTTTTACATGCTGTGATGTAGAAATTAATTAGTGATTGGGTTATGTGAATGGTGTTCTACGCTAATCTGTTTTGGTGATGTTCGGGCGCTATTTTAGCCTGTTTTAACCTAAAATAGATTTGCAATTTCTTTTTTTATTAAAAGAAAGGCATTTTGCTTCAGAGAATTATTTAAAGAAAAATACTGTGCATCTAAGATCTCAGGAGACACATGTACCCATTTCATTAAGCAATATTATGCAAAACACAGACTAAGTGGCAGAAATAGTAAACAAAATAATCAAAAGGTGGGTGATACGAAAAAAGAAAAAAAATATGTCTAGTTTTCTCCAATATAATCCACTGTATTTTTCTACTCTATCTCGGCTTCCATCAAATCCATTTGTTTTTTAAATTTCTCATCTCTCTCTTTTTGAAGCCCTCATCAGCTCCATCCAACCATGATTTTCTTGGTCTTCCTCTCCTTCTCTAATCAGATCCGATAACTGATAAATTGACAGCTAAAAACAGGGTCATGTTAGAAGCTTTTTGAACACAGAGCAATAACTCACAATTCAAATCTATTTTCAGACTTTGCGACAGAACTATATTTCTATTGGGCTGTTTCAAAGCATTTGCTAAGCATATGAAATACATTCACATATTTTGAAGATGGGCCCAGACACGCCTTTTGTTAAGCAAAATGTCCTGAGCATCCAAAGTGTTTATGCAGTTTGGTTTCCTTTGGAATGTAGTCATTGGAGGCTTATCATCATACCTATTCAAAATTTACAGCTACACCCTACCTAGATACCAGATTAATTTATCAAGGCAATGCCCCGTATTCAATAGTTTCTGCCTCTATGTGCACCCTGAACATGTGCCATTTTTTCAGATAAGTGAATCTAATTTTATATAAATCTATCCAGGTGCAGTACTGAAGCTTAGGCATGGGGTTTCAATATTTAGAAAAGAATGCAGTATCTGACAGGTGTCAGCACTGGTTTATCAAGAATGCTTTTCTTTCTGGCATGCTAGCTTCACATCTAATTTTTCATAAATTAATCTCAGAAGCATAAATTCAGGTGGGGCAAGGAAATTCAAGGGAATTTCCTTTGGGTTTGTAGTCCCATGTACCCATTCTTGGGTGCATTCTGCACAAGATTATATATATGATGTTTTCATTTCAATCCTTACTATTCTTGTAAATGCTACTGGACATTTACATCCATCTGTTCCTTTAAACCAGCATACTCCAGTACTGTGCCTGCCAGATGAACTTCAGCATGAGAATTATTAATCAAGCATAAATTCAAAGCAGCAGCTGAGACCACTGTTATTGGTTCTGTTTATTTATAATGCTAAGTCAGGATTATTAAAATCCTGCCACCTGGCATTCTGTCACATGATCTCCCAGATATATAAACTGTAGTTTGGGGTGGTAAGTCTGGGAA